CCGCAAGACGCGACCGGAGACTGCAGGCAACCAGGTTTACTTTCCTGTGCTAAGCTGGAAAGGTGCCATGCACAGGTATACGGCCTGGAGACAGTGCAGCAGAATGCCTAGGTACTTGTATCTAAATCCAGTTAGCAGCTGGATGCATGATGAAATGAACATCCAGCAGACCTTTCCTAGACTTGTTGCAACTAAGGATGCCGTTCTTCTTAGGCCTCTTACCCAACAACTGCGCAGGTGCTGCTTCTGTTCTTGGATGCGGGGACAATGGACAATGGTTGCTGGATGGTCCACGCTTGAAACATTGATGTTCAAGATTCTATCGGCACTGAGTTGTCTAGTCGTCTTCACGCAGGGATAACTTGGTGGAATTCTTAGACTGAAAGACAGTGACATACCCATGTTTCATCTGGATTGTGGTCGATAGAGACTTCTCCATCAATAGTTCAACTTTATTCAATGGAGGATTTGACTCCAGAGGCCAAGTATCATGATCCTAATCTTGACAAAAAGATACAGATAGTGGATAGTGTAAAATGTAGAGCAGCAATCTCTAGAAGCGACAAGTGTTGGGGTGGCTAGGTTTTGGCGTGTCACCAAAAAGCCCAGGTCATATATACATATACATATATCACGAAAGCCAGCGATAGGCTAGGCTGAAGTTGGGTTGGGCGAACGAAGTGAGTAAAGGGGTGTGTGTGGGGGGGGGGGGTGGTCGCACACGGTCCAATTTCGGAGGGCTAACCCAGAGCCTGTTGGGGGAGAGCGAAGAAAAGAGGTGGCCAGGAGGTAGTGAAAACGCGTGGTATTTGGGGTGTTGTGAAGCAAGTGATGTACAGTAATTGAAGGCGAGCAGTGCATCATTAGCATGATGAGGGGCTCAGGAGGCAATGTAAACCGTTTTCCACGAGGGGATAAGGGGGCGCGAAAAGACGTTGGAACTCCTCCAGAAAAGGGAGATGTGCGCCATCTGGGAAGAGAATGCTGTCGGGAAGGTGGATGACAGGCGTAGCGGAGGAGGAACAGAATGCAGCGGGCAAGCTTCGAGTTGCCTGGGGGTGTCCTTTTTTTACGGTGAAGAGGCCTAGTGGCCTGACTCAAACGGGCACCCCATATGGGGTGGGAGTTCATGTGGATGAGACAGGCGTAGCGGAGGAGGACGTGATAGGAAAAGAGGGGCTGCAAGAAACGATGTTACCCATCGAGGACATGGAGGGAACAGAATACAACGGGCAAGCTTTGAGTTGCTGGGGGGTGCCCTTTTTTGGTGAAGAGGCCTGTTGACCAGACGCAAAATGTTGAAGAGGCCTGTTGACCAGACGCAAAAGGGCATCCCATATGGAGTGGAAGCTCATGTGCAGGATAGACATAGCGGGGGAGGATGTGATAGGAAAAGAGGTGGGGAGCTCACCGACCATATTGATATCTTTACGGTGGCTGGCTTTCGTCCCCTCCCTTCTCAGGTATGTAATCCTTGCGATAGCGCCATGGTTTCGATGGAGGGATTGGTCATGGATTTTGCCTGGAAGCATCAAGTCAGACATTGCTGCAACCCCTTCCCACAAGTCCTGTATCACATGGATCAACGTGATCAACCTGTTGACCCCCATGTACAAACTCGAGGGGGAACTGAGCGACTGCCCGCGCCAGGCTCGAAGCTTCGGATCTATGTCTACGACACCCAGCCGGGGACCTCACCGGTGCAAATCGGTTAGGACGGTTAGGATATGGTAGGACTAGAGCACCAAACGCAATGTTTTTCCTGAAGGGTACACCCATCACATGTGGTTGAAATCCTTGTCGCCGCACGAAGTCTTTTCCCACATGGCAAAAACACTGGACTGCACTGCAAGTGAGCTTTCTAGCAGTTTGGCATTCCATGGCTCAAAGATTGCAAGTCTGGGAAACGAGATACTGAAGGCCAGGATAGAATAGAGAAGCGTGGGAAGGTCATGGGACGTGAACATCCCGACCTGCAGGTCTTTCTCCGTTGGCTCTATCTTCTGCTCCGCCGGCCAGTGCCGCGCTCGGGGTGATGCGGGGTGCGGGTGGTCAGAGTCTCGGGCCTCACTTGCGGTGTTCAAAGGCCAAGAGGTAGAGCGAAGAAAGACCCAAGGGGAGGTGTCCCCTCATGTTCATTTTGGGAGACTCGTACTGCTAACATTGATTCCATTGGTTCCCTTAGAGTATTTTGGAAGACCGTTTTCACTTTAGCAGTTCTAGAATACAATGTCTCAACAGTTGCTGTTGCTACCATGGATTGTCCAGCTTCCTGCCAACCCGGAACATGATGATTTTTTGTTGCTAGCCTTTGCTGCTCATATCGCATTTGCGCTAACATGCAGAACAAGAAGTGGAAACAATGTTACAATATGCTATACTGTTATAGTATGAGCCCATCCAAGACCAACGTTTTTCAATGTGGTTTTACACAACTAAAGTGGGCATGCGAGCGCTAAAACTTGGCATCTGTTCAAGGTGCTTTCTGTTGATTGCAACGAGATCTATGATTTGCTGAGGGCGTGCCATAAAACGTATATCAATCGTATCAATGCTGGACGCCAGTCCCTTTCATGCTTGGTTCCAACTGATTGAAGTGATGCGCCGGGTGCTGCTATGGCATTCTTTGCTGCTTCCTTTGGTCAAGAGCCAGTACCTTTGCAGGGAGTGTGTTTGTCAAGGTAGACTTGCGCGAGTTGAGGGATACCATATCATGACTCGCGGCTGAGCCAGCAAGGGTGAGGACTTGAAGCTTTGAGCAGAATCACGTAGTTTGAGGCCTTTGAACGCTGTTGTTGCTTTTCCTGCAACCTTCTGCTAGGAAGTTACTTGATTCAAAGAGAAACTCTAAGAGAAGCAGATTCCGTCCGCGCATCTTGGAAGGTCCGCACTTTTGGTAGGCTCAGATTTTTGAGATCCGAGGCAATGGCGGGACTGGGCCAGGGAGGTCTTCGTGGATTACATTACCGGCCTTGGCTGTGCGCAATGCAGCTTGGATTTGCTAAAGCAACCCAAGGGCCACATGGTCGTGGGATGTTTGGAGTGGTGGAGTGGGAAGGGGTGGTAGACCATGGACAGCTGTGGAAATACTGGAGTATCCCACCAGGAATCTTCAGAACCCTGTCTGTGGGAATTCGTTCGCTTGGAGAGAGTGCTGTAACATACTGTAACTAGTTTTTTGATCCGGTTTTGCACAGTACTGCTGTTCCAAACGTGTCCGCACCACCACCCCAAGCCATACATGACCACCTGTTGATTGTCGAATGGATGAAGCTGCAAAGTCTAAAAATGATCTCAACGCGTAGGTCGACCAAGTCTTTCATTGGCGAGGAAATCCTCAGGGTATTATAGAACATCACCCAAAAAGCTGGACAGGTCCATGGAGCTTGTTGGAGTTTTTGAGGAAGGGGCATTCAGCCACCACAGAAGGAGAAAACACACTTAGATTGATGCTCGCAAGAGCTAAATCAGTTGACAAAGTTCCACTTTATTGCAATTAGACCTTTACACGCAGTTAGACCTTGGCTGAGGGAACGGAAAGGTGAAGAAGTCCGGAAAACAGAAATGTTTGACATCGCTCAGTAGCTCTTTACAAATGCAGGTACGTGAGTCAGGCGTCCCTGACTCATATCACAGGAAACGTGCAGCGTCTTCGTTGGTCGCTGACTGCACGAATCCCCAGCGACGTGGCGTCCCCTGCCTTTAAACTTTTTGTGTTTTTGAAGTGATTTACAGTGTGTGAAGCCTTAGAAACAGGCTTTGACACACACACACACACACACTTAGACAATGGGTTTGCAGTTACATCAATTCCCTGAGAAAATGAATGAAGGAACGGAAAGGTGGCAAAGTCCGCGATCAACTGAATGTTGAACATATGTTGCACAAGCGCTCAAACTGAAAGTGGCGATCAGCAGCTGCAATGCGGAGAAGGGGTGGTTTAGGGGAGTAGCGTGCGAAACCACCATGGAAACAAAACAAGGAAAGAGTGGAGTCACAGCGTGATCAACAGTTAAAAGAACCCCTTCACAGATCCCTTCACAGAGTAACGGTCAGTGGACTTCGTCTTCTTACCTTTGCGGACGCCCAGATGCGTCATCCACGGATCACTCCTTTCACATCCAAGATATCATTGATATCATCAATATCTGCTAGCGTGCTAGTACAGCTTGCAGTTACAGACGTCTGATAGCTTGAAGTCAATAAACAAACACAAGCACATATTGTTGCGTAGAACTTTGGGCGGGCTTGGGTGCACAGTGCACACACATCATCACAACTCCCATGTCATACGATATATATGTATTATATATATATATATATCCCTTATTGCGCTCAGGCGGTGATTTGATGGAACCCAGCGCGGAGTTTCCTTTCCACTTGTCCAGCAACATTTTCGGCTGTGCCGCAGCATGCATTGGGACAGCTACACCTTGGTTTGATGCAGCCACGCCCCGGTTTGACCTTTCAATCAGGAGATGTTGAGACTTTGCAGAAGGGGCAATGCCAAACAGATAAAGCAGGGAGTGCCTTTTCATGGTGAGTCGTCTCACCATGAGAAAGCAGATGAACTCATCCCAAATCCCATCCATCTCCATCCAGGTGCTGATGTGGATGTCCTCTTGCCTTCGCTTCACTGGCTCTACGAGACCTCCCATCACCCCGGCAGGATCCCGGGCATCCTGGTGGATGGAGGTGCCAATGTGGGCCGAGCCTCCGCCCGCTGGGTCGCCGCCTTTGGAGACAGCTCCACAGCCTAAGTGGGTGACCGAGGGGGGTGCAGGGACCGACCCGTTGGGATCCGTCTGATTTGTTGAAGTCCAGGAGCTCGTAGCGTCTTTGCTCCCAGTAGCGATGCCAGGAGCCCCTAGTAGCTTCTTGTTCCTAGTGGCTTTAAAACCAATGTAGTCTACAAGTTGAGAAAGAAGAACTTGGACACACTGGAGCATGCTCCAAGGCCGAGCTACGGTAGCCCTGTATCCCTCCTTTTGGGAAAATGGTGATGCTTTTCTGTCTACACATGTCTACACACTTCACGCAGAATCAAGCCAGAACTCGGGAAATGCCATGACAATGAGCACCCGGCATGAGGGAAAATCGCTACTAGTAGCAAGAAGCTCCTAGGCTTCAAGGCTTCGGTCGTTCCTCCCAAGGCTTTGGCCGCCAACTGGGCCAGAACGCTACCACGGCGCCCTGCGTGGTTTGCTCGGGCGCCTCCGCCAACGCGCGGCGTCCGGTCGCACCGGAGCACGCGCTGCCCACCGTGCTGGTCGTCGCAGTGGAGCCCAGTCGCCGGAACTACGAGCTGCTCACGAAGCACGCGCGCGAGCATGGCTGGGGGGCGGAAGGCTTTTTGGCGTTGGAGGTGCGATCGATTTCTTCAAGTTTTGACGAGGGGGAGAAACATGCTGAAGATGATCAGCCGTATAGCCGTGGTCTTGGTCAGATTCCTTTCAGACAAGCTGAAGTAAGAAGAAGGAACCACTCGTTTTTAAATTCAATCTACTTATACAATGTACATTCCTATTACAGGTTTACTAACACTTTGGTTGATTGGCGGGTAGCTTCCACAAAGGCAGCCGGCGTTTCGTTTCACGTCCCAGGCAGCCCTGGGTGCCACTGCGGGCCGTGCGCAGTTGGCGGTCCGCGAGGACTTTGCCATCGACGAGGTCGCGACGCTCCTTTGGGAGGACATCGAGAGTGAGAGACGGTCACTGGATGGGGGTGGCCTTGACCGGGCTGCGAGACCGGGTGGCCTTGGAGTATTGAATTTAGCGATGTAGCTTTTCACCAGCTTTTTCACCAGCATTTATGTCTTGACCAAGTCCTGAGTTACACAACCAGCTAGTGGCATTCACATGTCTCATGCAACTCAAAGGCTCCAGCCATGGCACTTGCCTAGCTTGGTTCCCCGTGCAGCTTCACGCAGGAGAGCGACCCACGCCCCAAGCAGCCGGTGGAGGTGGTGACCCTCAAGGAGGTACTTTCACGGGCGCAAAGCGCTTTCCCACTGCTCAAGGGCGCTGATCGGATCTTCCTACTGAAGTTGGACATTGAAGGCGCGTGGCAGCCATGAACAACACCACTGTGGGCTGTGGGTCAATATGTACGATCCCCAGTCAACCATGTTCAAGCTACAGTATATTAATATCAATCTCATGTGTTCTTTTTTTTCTCGGTATTTCTCCTCACGTTGGTACTGGGTTTTCACATGCTTTCACCCACCTAATATTACCCATTCTGCGAGGGAAAGCGCTCTTCTCTGCCAGGCCTGGAGCCTTTGGTGCTGCGGTCCTTGACTTCGGCTCCGGTGAAGTTCGTGAGCTTCGAATATGCGGCGAACGTCTGGAAGGAGCCGTTGGCGCCGGTGGTGGAAGACTTGTAGCTCGGAAAGTCACATCATTTCCCGCGAGAGAAGGGGTGGTGAGCATCGGCAGACGGGACAACAGGAACCTCAAAAGGAAGCTGGGAGCTGGGAGCCCCGTTCGTAGCGTCCGATCGCTTCTAGTAGCGATGCCCTTTGCTCCCAGTAGCGTCCTCGGTGGATCTGGGAGTTCACATGACTCTGAAGAAACCACTTGAACATGCTTGAACTCTGTTTTGTGTGACTGCTAGCTAGGCGGGAAATCACAGGGACCCTCAACTCTGAGAAGTGGATGGCGCCGAAACAAACCTCTTACTTCATGACTCATGTTTCGTTCCTTCCCGCCAAGTCGTTGGGTGGATCAAGAAAATGCCGAGCGCGGCACTGGGACCATTTTATTCGCTCCCAGTGCAGAGACCGAACCACCAACATGCTATGCAGTGCCATGCCATGCGAACAGTGCCCAACGCAGGCATCGCGCCGGGTACTTTTGCTTCTTGATCACCTCGGAGCCCTGGATGCAACGAGAATTCAAGTTCGGTGGAGGACTGGGAGAAAATGGTGCACCCTAACGTGCTACTAGTAGCTTCTTGTTGCTAGTAGTAAGGCCAGGAGCTACTAGTAGCGTCCTTGCTCCTAGTAGCGATGCCCTTTGTTACTAGTAGCTTCTTGTTACTAGTAAGGCTCACTTTGACTTTGGACCATCATGAGTCGAGGGATGGAGCAAGCACTCAGGAGCATCTCTTCCCGGTGTCCGGACCCTTCTGGAGCAATATCTTTGAGCTCCCCATGTGGAGCAACTTCATCTGCGGCAAGGAGGGCGACCGAGACTTTGGCCCATCCCAATGAGCTGTGACCGTTTCGGCTGTGACAGCTGCCCCACAGTTTTGGCATTCTCCGGGTTAGTTAAGTCCCGCGTGCCACTCAACACATGACAGATGGAAGTAAATATGGCCTCGTAGCCACATATGACTGTTGACTTTTGTGTTAAAGGAACGCCAAGCAGATGAAAGGTACATACGGGACATGAATAGCCACCATCAAACGATCAGGCATGGTGAGTATACAGAGATGTTTTCTAGAACCTCTGTCAGGCAGTTTTTGACGCCTGGGGCATGGACCAAACGCCAGGCACTTCTGGCTTGAACATTTGGTTTCTTATTGGTTTCTTCATGTTGCTTCCTTCCAGACGAAGGGTGAGGTACGTAAGTGGATCATGAACATTAAGAACTTTTGAGTCTAGTCGCTGATCTCAACTGATCTCTCATCCGATCTCGCCTGATGACCACATTGATGACCACATTTAGCTCCCCTTGCAATCTCCCAAGGAGACTTGGAAGCTTTGGTTCAGCTGCACGTCGGCGCCATTGGCTTGTGGCCGCGGATGCCCAAGGCCTATCTGCCCGACTTCAGCGGCGAAGGCATGGCCACGAACCTCTTGGAGGCGCAGCATTGGTGCACCGAGACTGGGACTGAAGGTAGGCACCAAAGGTCTGGGTCGGTTGGAGGTATGAGCTTTTTTGCTTTGCTGATTGATCCTATTGCGATTTATGGCGATTTATTGCGTATTAGCTGCAATGTTGCTTCGCCCCATTTTTGACAAAACGGCGGGACATTCAATAGCCGCTTTGCAAGCAAAGGGTGTTTTTCAGCGAAGGGTATGGAGAGGAGCTGACGCACCTTTTCAAGTGGAGGTCGTAAATGCTGGTCAAGGTCTCAATTTGCCTGAAAAGGAGAGATGGATTTCAAGTTTCCGTGTGATTGCCTCCCTTTGTGGAACCTTAACCGCCCCCTAATTCTCCACCCCTAAGCCAGCGGCTTGCGGTTTTCACAGGCCATTTGCGGTCGAAAGGCCATGTTTGTTTGTTTGTTTGTTTGTTTGTTGAACAAAAACATTGTTTGTTGTGACTCTGTTTCATCCTTTTCCAACGAGGATTTCGGCGACCTTTGCGCTGGCGTCACCTGCGATGGCGACGTGGACTGGCGGGTGGGTCCGCAGCGGTGCACCGCGCGGCGGGGCCGCGGCACGCTGCGGCAGTCGCCCACTGAAGAAGTGAGCTACTTGAAAGATGTGTCATACAGCAGCTTGGTTGAAGTTGTCATACTTTTCGATATGTTGAATGCTTCTTCATAAAGAAAACGAGGAATCCCAATGATACACATGCTTCTTGCTTGATGTGTTTTTTGGTTTCTAGTCCCATGTTTCTTTTGGATGGGATAACTTCACTTGGATGAGGAGTTCAGGCGATGATTCTGAAAGCTCTGTCTTGAGGTACCCGGGTACACGAGGTGATTTTTTTTTCCAGTCACACGAGTTTTTCTTGTTCACAGTGCGTTTTGGATGCTCGTAGACGCTGATAATCTCATCACATGGTCCTTGATTCAATCTGAAACACCTGGCTTGTCCAGACGCAAGCAGGCAATCTGTATCTCCGCTACCGGTTGGAGCTGCAACGCGAGTTGCTAAAAGAGCGCGCTGATGGATGGTCACCACCGACTTGTTGGCACGCCTCAGCACCAACAGACGAGTCAAAGGACACACTGCACACTGCACAAACCAATACTTCAAAATGGCCTTGGACATCCTTGGGCACACCATTCAAATCACATTCAATTGCTGTGTTCATTGTGAATGCTAAGCTCGTCGAACTATCGAGAAATGCCCAGATGTGCCCAATACCATTGTTCAGTCAACTGATCGTGCACTCCCAACTGTCTTTTTCATCCTTGGACGTTCTAAGATGACTTGGCTCGTTCTGTAACGAGGAAGCGCAGGGGATCCCTAAACCTAAGGCAGACCAGCCATCGAGTCAGTCCTCTTGGTCCCCTCCCAACCACTTGGACCTTTCTTCGGGTCGTCCGAACCAGGTCACCGGTCACCGAGTTGCTTCTCTACTTCGTCTTTCTCCCAACCCATTCGCCTTCCACTAACACTCCACCGGGTTCCACCACAGTCACCCGTGTTCTTGGACTCGACGATTTGGCTCCCGCATCGGCCTCTTCCTAGGTGGGGCGTCGAAGTGCTGCTGCACCGGTACTTTGCGAGTTCGACATGCCGCACGACGAACCCTGAGGAGGTGCGAGATGCTGAGGGTAGTCTGGCAGTCTGGTTACATGGAAAATCAGAGATTATCTAGGTTTTGAGGCCATGTTTTGAAAGGGATCGGCACATCCTGACACTTACACATGGTGGCTCACACTTTATAATTGTTGCAATACTGTAGGTACATATTCGTGAGGTCTTTGTATGCTTATGTTCCGTAGGGCCACTGGATGCCCCAAACAGTTGACAGGTGTGAACTTGGATGAACTTGGACTTTTAAAATCAAGAACTAAATGCTGGACTTTCTTTGAACATGCCACCACACTGCCTGAGTAGATGAAACATGTCCGGGCAGCCGTCAGAGGCCTTGACATTGTCAGATTTTGCTGGTCCAAGTGCATCAATAAGGAAGCAGGGTTCTACATCCTTGCATCAGTTTGCCTGCATAGGCATAGGGCATGGTCCACTACTGTAGATAAAACCTACGTACCAATACTAGAATCATATACAGTATGATCAGCATGTGTCTTTGCATCAAGACGTAGTCGACCGGGTCGATCGTCTGGGTACGTCTGGGTATGGCTGGGTCAGGCCGACCTCTTTCTGGTGCCCGACTACCGTGCCTGCCACCTGCATTTGGCGAGGGGCCGAAGAGATCAATGAGAGAGCTGCCACTGCTTCAGGAGACTCGTCTCCAACTCCAACGATTTTTCTTCTTCCATTTGCAATTCTTCTTTCCAAAGGAGGCAGCCTTAAAGCAAACACTCACATGATGCAAGCTTCAGTTTCACGGAACAGGACAAAAAAAAAATCAGAGTGGTCTGATGTCCAGCCTCGGGGTTTCTACGGCTCGCGGGTCCCGAGCCTGAGGCGCCCACCTACATGCACAAGGGCCTCACCCGGATCGAAGGCCGGCTGGCTGCTGCGTCTGCAGATGTTTCGACTGCACGGCAGATTTGGATCCATAGGCATTCGCAGTCACGGCAGGGTATTCTAGAGTGTTGATTTGAAAAGACCACCGGCTGCCCTTGGAATGAGAATTCGAGGGTCAATTTATTTCTGTGATTCTTAATGGACATGGACGAGGTGGATAGAATTTCCTGCAATAAAGCAAACCAAGGAAGCCATAAAAGAAATACAACTAAATAACACAACACAAAACGAAAGGTCCAATAGGTAGGGATCACATAACACATGTGCGTGTCATCCCACTGGGCAGGTGATGACTATCATTCCCAGATCATCCGCAACCACAAAGACAAGTGGCCATCTCAGTGGGACCAGAGCACTGCCATCCTCCAAGCAGGATGTCCCAAAGGACGCACACTTCGAACTTTGCCAGCAGATAGAGGAATCCTATGGAATCCTTTCAGGCATCATGTCCCGTCATGTGAAGATCTTGGATGTTCTCACTCCTGTCTTCGAGACCATGAACTGCCTGATTGGGCTTCAGACGCCAGCTTCACCCGACAATTCGTCGTTAGACATGTGCACACTGAATCCATGAATTCATGGCGCTCCATTGGATTACGAGGCAGGCGGAACCGCCCAGTCCGGCAAAGGTACCGACACCCTGATCAAGCAGAGGCACAATTCCAGGCGCTTGAAGTCGTGGCGCCGCGACCGCCGAAGAACTGGTCGTGGCACCGCGACGTTGTGAGGAAAATGCAAACGTCTTGATGCCGACAAGTTCCAGCCCCACCTCGTCTTTTCATATCTTTTCATTGGTGGCGCGGTGCCCTCTGCAGTGCGTCGTCGTAGTAGTAGTAGTAGTAGTAGTAGTAGTAGACCAAATTGGCCAGCCAAACAAGTTCATTCCTTGACATCAAAGTGCAATGTTGATGTGCTATGCTATTTTTTTAGCCCTAGGACTTCAGCCTCAGAGGGCTTGCAACAAAGATAAGAAGGACGGCGCTGTGTCGACCCGGAACAGGAGCTGCTCAAGTCGCTCAAGTACTTTGCCAAAGCCTCAAGTGCTCAAGCCCGCAGTAGCACTGGCTGCTTGCGGATGGAACAAAAAAGGCTCTGCACAGTTTTGACGGCGAAGTTGTTTTTCGAATCCTTTTTTCCTAAGTGCTCCTTACTTGGTGCCGGTAGAATGACCAGGGCACTAGTATTTTGCTCAGATTCAAGGCCCATTCAATAGGAGCGGTAGTATTGGCTGTGAGTGCAAGTGACTACTTGCCTTGCCCACCCTCGGACATGGGCTGCGGAGCTCAGGATCGGAAGCAGGGCATGGATCACATCTTCATTTTCTCGGACGGGATGAGGGGAGTTGAGTTCTGGGATGATGAGGTAAATCATGGTAAATCATTGCAAATCCGTATGCTGGTCTACATGAACTTGTCAAGGTGTGTTATTGAGACGGAGCGCTGGATCCATTCATCCAGATTCCGAGATTTATTTCCTACTAGTTACTAGTGATCACCAGCAAAGTTTAGTGAGATGATCCCCTTGAGCCATGCCTTTTCCAAGGTCACACATGACTCCTGGCACCAGGATCAGGGCTTTATCGTGAATTTCACTCACACCTTTCCCTCCTGGCGAGCCAACGCCTCATTGAGAGTGCTATTCAAGTGCACGGAGAGTTGAGAGTTTGCTGTGTGGAGGTGAAGTTTGCATTTGGAAATCAATGTCATGTGCCATGTGTCAAAGGGGTGCCAAGGGGAAAAACCCTTTTGTTCCAGTTGATTCCAAGTTTTTGTTGATTAGAGGATCCTGTCGCACTGACAGGAAACGCCTGTTTCCGGCCTGGTCAGGGCTCCAGAGCCCACAAATCTCGCCGGCATTGAGGATCACATTGCCCACTCCATTTTTCTGACCACAGAGGCCAAGAGGGGAGCACGTCAAGGACTTGTGACTCATGACATCATGAAGGACGTATCCTGATTGCGCTGCTACACAGCTTCCAAAGAAACTGAAGCGTCACAAAGGGACATCGTCATCCATACCATTTGGAGTCTTTCCCATCTGGGAGTTTCGTCGTGTCCAGACACCTGCCTTCCAAAACACCCCCTTGATGGAGGAATCTAGTGCCAAAGGTGAGGGTGGCCGAATTGACCTAACGTCCAGCCACGGGAGGCCTTTACACCTGGATGCGGCCCCAGCTGCTTCTCGCCGTGGAAGGCCGCTCTGCGTGGCGTAGGTGGTGGGTTAGAAAGCCCGTTGGGCCCGTTGGGGTGATGTTGAGGGATGTCTCAGCTGGATTCAGCTAGAGGATAGTCTCTCAATCACCAATTCACTAACCATCTCGAGCATGTTCTGAGGGGTTGACGGCAAAGAAGACCCTCCCAAGCTTCACAATCATCGCTTTAAAGTCAGGCCCACCTCAAAATCACCCAGATTCTGTTGAGTATGGATTGCTTTGTGTGTACTATAGGACCAGAGGTGTAGGTCAATTTCAGGAAGGCATGAGGTGTTGTTTCACGTTTGCCAGAGAACAACCTATGCAATAGGAAGCTCCTAGCGGGGCCAGACACTATCTGTCCAGACATGCTGATGTACGAGTTATCATCCTTTGGCTGCCCAAAGTCTTTGTTGAGAAAAATGGTTTGCTTCAAGTCAACATGCAAGCTTTGCCTAACTTCAAGCACAAATCAGAGGTCAAAACAGGGCTGCATGAGCTGAAACATCTCTAGCCACCAAACTTGACGCATCCACTCTTGCGTTGCAAACGTCTCAATGCCAATCTGGAGCAGTTCAATCCGGGAAGCAGTTGAGCTTGGCCATGACCTGTGTACCAACAGACTAAACAGGAAGGGCCCCGGTTTGCCCCCAGGACCCTTCAGTTTTTCCCCTTGTCCCAGCCGTTGTTTGACTTTTCCAACAGGATGCTGTTATCCCAGGCACGTGGCGCGTTTAGAGTGCTGATCGCGAAAGTGGGGTTTTGAGATGGTTTTAGTTATATATATATACAAAGAAATGCAATTGTTGCAGCTGGTCTAATCTGTTCCTGTTGTGCCCAACCTTTTCTTCAACAGGAGTGTAATGGATTCCAGAACTTGAACTTGCTTTGCCTGGCCCTGTGTTCACAACAAACCACTCTTGTGCTGACTGGACTCAAGCAGTCTTACACATTCTTGCAGTACCAAAACTACAATGTGCAACCATGTTAAAGGTCAAGCAATCAGAAGGCTTTTTGAAGAGGATCAACGACAATCTGCAACCAGAAGGCTGTTTGAGGATCGACCGAGCTTCCAAGCTTTTTTCAGGCCACATCGACATGGAGAGGTTTGAACGCATTGCCAGCTTCAATCAGCCAACCAGCAATCGAAGTGGAGACCTCAAGGATCCTCAAGGGGTTGCCCGCATTAACACCTCCTTGCAGTATGAATGACTTCGCATGATTTGGTCATTGAGAAGAGCTTTCTGTTCCACGCTTGGCAGAATTCACACTGAACTGCAGAGTTATGATAGATGATCTACTGCGGGTGCACTTTAAAAAAACTGGGTTGTGGAGGTAGAAGAAAGACAAGAACCACATGCCATTTGGCGTATTGACTCAGCCGATGGTAAGCCTTAATCAACAAGGTGAGGATGGCAGGCGTTTGTGCGCCATTCGCCCCAAATGACCCTAAACCGTGAGGTTTCCTCTTCAACTTCCATGGACGATTGCCGGTGAACCACGACTACTATGAGCCTGGAGCTCAGAGACCATAGCAGGTCGTCCGGTGAAATACGACACCGCACCTTGCCGTGGCTTCTGTGACCTCGCACGTTGGCAAACATGAATCCTTTGGCGAGCCCAAGGTGAAATATGACCATTATGACCCTGAGAAGGGGCTGTTTCGCTTGAAAGAGATTTTCCACAATGTGTGTGTGTGAACGCCAAGTAGCTGAAAGCTGGTGGGTTGGATTCACTTCTTCAGCTACCATTAGGTTCGAACCACTGAGACAAGAGTCTCTGAGCTAAACAGCCGATTCAACAATTCAACTATGCCGAATGAAACTGTTGGAGAATCAATCATGCATCAACTCCCTACTGAACTGTTTTTTGAATGTTCCTCAACTTCTCTACCTTCAGCATTGATCAGATGCCATCGGCCCCTCAAGGAAGGTCTCTGTCCGAAAGGCGCTCTTGCAGTTCGAGCGGCTGGCAGATGTGAGCGTTTGGGACTCCTGGCGCGTTCAGGATGAACGGGTGGAGGGATGGGCCAGAGGAACGGAGGAACCGAGGGAGGAATGGAGGAAAGTTGTGTAATTACATAGAATCCTTTGTTTTTGCTGCTGTTTGTCACTGGAAGACCAAGCTTGGGAAGCTTCCTCTAGCCTCTCAAACCATCTTAAACCTCCCTGCAGGCCGTCACGAAAGGGGCTTTCTGGGCAACCCTAGATGATGTGCATGTGGAGCTCAACCCCTTTGGTTTTGCCCAAAGTGCGCTGCTGAGGTGGGTGGCTTCATTGAGGAATACTTCGAAGTCATGGGCAGCTTGGAGAGGAAAAGCCTTGGAGAGGATCCCCAAAACGGAAGTGCAGGCAGCCACATGTGACATGTGTTTTGGCACCTTTGCAGATACTCCCTACTATTTATTGTAGGGAGTACGGACTCGGTGTTTTAGGATGCAATGCATATGCTGCGCTTAGATCTCTGCGGTGCTCCCTGCTAGTGTATGTCTCAAGTTTGCATTTCTTCATTTCCCACTTCCCCAAGCATCCCAAGGTATCAGAGTGACGGCTGATTGAGAATCTGCCCAAAGTATGTCTCACAATCAACTAAGTAACTCAGACCCTTGACATCGAGTCAGTCACTCATATTCATGATGATACATGCTGATCCATTTGGTCCCCAAGTGATGAAACCTGACCGTCTTTGCACTCAAAACATCCAGGCAAAATGTGGGGAACTCACAGCTGTTGATGAATCTAGGCAGCAGCCATTTCTGCTTGGTGCCAGAGGGCACCTCTTCCTGGACGCCACTTGGCCCAGATGGAGACATTGGATGAGTGGGCTTGGAACGTCAGGGCTTACGGCACAAGGGGAACCCTGAAAATTTATGGGTTTGCATTCGTGTCAAGATCTAACCAAATGTTGCGCAAGTTTCAAACAACAGAACTTGGAGTAATTCGATCGAGCGCATGAGACATCCGTGTCTACCCTATCAGAAACACAGCCCATCAAAGGCAGGCAAGCGCAAGACGGACTCGATGACTCGGTCGATCCAAGGAATCACCTTTACGAGAGCTTCTTTGCTGGGTGCATTCCACTCATCCTCTCCGACCGCTACGTCCTGCCCTTCCAGGCCAGAGAATAGGGTCTGGCCACACGTGCAGCCTCGAATCCAATGATCAGGTCTGAAGAAGAGAACATCTTTGCTACACCATGTAAAGCATTTCTTATTTTCGATGAACAGTCGCTGCAAAACGGTGTTTTACTATGGTAGAAACCCGGGTGTTCTACCACCTGAACCGGCGCACGCCCCGACGTGCGTCCCCGATGGAGCTCCACGGGGTTCTCCCGATGGAAACCGACTCGAGCGACTCGAGGATCTGATCGACTGGCCATCGCTGAGCGTGCGCTGGCCACAGGCCGAGCGGTGCTCCAGAAGGGATGAGGCTTTCAATGGTTTCACTTTATCGATCAATTGCATGATGTGCACAGCTGTGGAAAGCTGGTTGCTTGGGGCTGAACACTTGGAGATTTGAGATGCTCCTAAAATTCAATGCAACATGGGGCCCCTTGATTCATCCAGCGGTGACACAGAGCCTTCGAGTCTTTGGAATCAGTGCTGGTGAGGACGCCGTGTCCTTGGAGATGTACGTCTACGTGAAGGACTCCATGCTTTTTCCATGGCGAGGCTGTGCAGTATCTTGCCAATTTGCCTTCAATCACACACGCACGCACACACTTGAGAAGGTTGCTCCGTGGAGCGTGATTTCAGGTAGCTTC